AAATAATTAAAAGCATCATATTACAGTGATATATGTTTATAGCAGCACAGTGTGTAACAGCTAAATCTTGGAAACAGCCCAGTTGCCCATCAACTGATGAATGGATAAAGATGTGCTTTGTTTTTATTTGCTGGACTACTACTCTACCGTAAGGAAGGATGAACTTCAGACATGTATAGCTAAATGGATGGATCTTGAGACCATACTCTTAAGGGAAATAAATTGGACACAAATGCTTAAATACTGCATTGTTTCTCCACACCATACTCTTGGGAAATAAATTGGACACAAATGCTTAAATACTGCATTGTTTCTCCACTGTGAGAAAGCAAAAATGGAAATAAGGATTGAAATGTATAATCCATGTTGGGTAATGGGAAAAAAGTGTTCAAATGAGTGAAGGGGAACAAAGGAGGAGGGAAGGAGAAAGGAAGGAACAAGAAAAAAGTGAAAATAGAAGAAAAAATGGAAACAAAACTTTTGTGCATAGGGAGAGGATGGGGATTGGGGGATGGAATAAAATAAAATTTATTTTTAAAAAGCAGAAAAAAATATATATATTTTTTTAATTTTAAAAGGGTAGGGAAGTAGTTCAGTGTTCCTTGGGATCAGTCCACAGTTAATACCTCCCTTCCCAGACACACACATGCACACAGAGTAGTCTGGGAAGGGATTCAGGTCCCACTATGCTGGAATGCAGGCACCAGCCACGGCTGTGACTTTATCTGAGAGTTGGGGTCCTTTCTGAGCTCACTAGTTGGCAGAATTCAGTTTCTTGGGTTGTAGGTGTGAAGTTCCTGTTTCCTGTTGGCTGTCAGCTGAGGGCCAGAGCTTCTACAGGTCATCTTGGGGTCCTTGCCAAAGGCAATGCACAATGTTGCTGTTGCTACAAGACCACCAGAAGTCTCCTTAGCTTGAATCCCTGACTTCTGACTTCTTTCAAGGATTTGATTAGGTCAGGTCCACTCACAATAACCTTCCTAATTTAAAGTCAACTGATTAATTAGGGCCTTTAAAATATATCTGGAGAATATTTTCAAAGCTCACATGGGTAGATGTTTGAATATCAGAGGTATGTGCAGTGGAGGTGAATCTTGGGGTGTGTTAGAATTCTGCCTATCATCCCATACCAGCTGTAGCTCCACCACTATTTTTCCCAATTGGCAAGCAAGTGAATTCCCCTTTCTTTCTTCATGGCCTTGAGAACCACTTGAGACAGCATGAAAACAGTCTCAGTGTAAAATATGTGCATTTGTAAATCTCAAATTGCTGAAGCATATAACTTTTAAACTCTGTCATTTCTCTTCATAATCCACATCAATTTTCACTGAATTTTGTAAAACTCAATAGCTATCTTTTTAAATAGACTGTAGTTTGGTGAGGTAAGTACCTGGGTTTGTTTGTGCTAATGTGACCCCAAATAATACTTGCTGGATGAATAAATGGTGCTTAAAACACAGGGCAGCGTGTTACCATTAGATTCATTCATTCTACTTGTGAGGGGAGCAGCTGTTTTCTGCCACACCCTTCTGCCAACATGTTTCTGCCTTGACAAGGTCAAAAGCAATGGAGCCAGATGACCATGGTCTGAAACCTCTAAAACAACGAGGCAAAATAAGTCTTCCCTTCTCTAAGCTGTGTTAGGTATTTGTCACAGCAACAGAAAGCTGACTAATAAAAAAACAAAAGCCTAGACAGTGCAGGGGGGTTCTAGGTAGTGAATAGTAGAGTCTTCCATATATATGGATGCAAATATGTGGGTTGGCATAAAGAACTTCCTAAAGGCCCGACTCTTCTCAGTGAATGCCTTTGTGCCAAGTGTTATCACAGAACGTTTGAAGGATTAGAACCCTGGACTTGTGAGTGTGGGCATGGGCAAGGTACTGATGGATGTCGGTGGATGAGCAGTGCTGAGAACTGGCTAGTGTCTTTCTCTTTCTTGCTCAGCTGCTTTGCCGGGGAACAAGTGTTGACTCAAAGCTGATCCATGTTGGTATCTGGCAGGTGGGACAAGGGATAAGATTTTATCATAGCATTAGGGCTTTTGACCTGGAGAATATCTAATTAAGTGATGAATCAAGGACAGTAATCACAGCAATAGAAAATAGAAAACTGTAAGCCTCAAATATTTACACTCAGTCTTGGTTAAACCCAGTTAAACATAAGCCACAAGCCAGCTAGATTTGGTTGGAACCCTTGGAAGAAAAGTTTATTGAAACTAACACAAGTGCTTTTGAGAATATAAAGTCTACAGTCATCACTAGAAAGAGGAGGGGGAAAAGTGAAAAACATTTATAAATAAGTTATTGTAGAGGCAGGCATGCACACACACAAAAGAACACGAACCAGGGAGGATAAAGGTCTTGTTAAAGTATATAATTTACCTATATTGTATCTTGTCTTCATGAAGTTAGGTTCCATGTGGTTACTTACTTTTTAAATGGAGACATCCTAATAGAATGTAATACATAGCCTAATGATTACCACAAAGCTTATGTTTTCACATTTCTTATAAACAACTGAATTTAGTCACTGTGTATTTGTCACAGAAAAGTGCCATTTGTTAGATGTTTAAGAATTGGATTTAATCAGGTTAAAACAATCATCACAGTGCCCATGTGTATAATTCACCATCTTTGACCTCACTAATTTCAATATTTAAACTCCATCATTTTAAGCCAGGTGTGGTAGCGCATGCCTGTAATCCCAGCACTCGGGAGGTTGAGGCAGGAGGATCACTGTTAGTTCGAGACCAGCCTGGGCTACAAAATGAGTTCCAGATCAGTCTCAACTACATAGTGAGACCCTGTCTCAAAAAACAAAACAAAAAAAAACCCCACTCCATCACTTTATAAATCAATGGAACCAATTCACTTGCTTTTCAGAGAGCCTCCACACCCTTTGTTTTGTTTTCTTGTACCAGGATCAGACTTAGGACCTTGCACTTGCCAGGCAGGCCTGCACCACTGAGCTACATCCCTGTCACACCTTTTGCCTTTGCTTTCTCTTTATAGGCCTGATGTACCAAAAAAACTCACTCTAAAACACAATGAAAAGCACATTTCTTTGCTGACACTAAGGAACATTTATAGAATACTTTGTAATTGCAGGGCTCTGTCCAGAGAACCTTTGGATAATTATCTCATTTAGATCTCACAACAGTCCTGTAAGGTAGGTGCAACAATGACCCCCTCTATAAGAGGATCAATTTCCCCAATGACACCCTTCTAAGTTGTATTATGACTTAGAGAAGTGAACACACTTGGAAAAAGACAGCCACAATAACTACCTTCTAATACCTGAGTAGATTTTTATGGTTAAGCGATTGGATTAGTTCCTTGGATCATAGCACCAAAGGGTAAGAAATATTTTATTCTAGTGCAGTGTAATGCTAGAAGAACTTTAACCACAACAGTTTAGCCATAATGTCACTTGAGCAGCATGTCTGCTTACATAATGACTATCCCGAGTATTGCTCAGGCAGGTTTTATTTCAACCAGTTGATTCTTGTATTGAATAAATTTGATAAAACTGCTGTTGTTGACAGGGATGTAGCTCAGTGGTTCCACCGCCTGCCTCGCAAGCACAAGGTCCCAAGTTCGATCCTCAGTATAAAACTGTTGTTTTTATATTTCCTGTTATATTATAAAAATTAACCAGAAAAGTATGCAATTTTTGGTCATCCTCTATTTAAATAATTGGCCTGGTAAGTGGCTAAGCACTGGACAAAGGTTGAAATAGATGGCCTGGTCTAATGAAGTCTAGACAGACATCTGTCACCTTGGTGGGTGACCAAGACCCTCAGACTCATCCCTTCCTGAAAACTTTCTTCTAAGTACACTTGCTATGTGATTTTCTTCCTCTATGGATCAAACAACTATACTTATAATCTTATTGGTTGATCATAGCTGTAACCCATGTTGTAACCACGTGGTTGTGCTCTGTAAAACTTTCCCTGAGAACTGGAATCCTTGGCAACCCACTTTTGGGTTCCCTCCTACCTCTCAGGAGTTGTGTCTTTCTCCTCAATAAATATTTCCTACTCTTAACCTCTATTCCTTAAAATTCATTCTTCAATTTGGGAAACACAAACTTAAGTGGGTTGGACATCTAGCAGGTTGGGAGTTATAATAATTCCCCTACATCATATTTAGAAGTCCAGCCTCTCAGGAGTTGTGTCTTTCTCCTCAATAAATATTTCCTACTCTTAACCTCTCTATTCCTTAAAATTCATTCCTCAATTTGGGAAACACAAACTTAAGTGGGTTGGACATCTAGCAGGTTGGGAGTTATAATAATTCCCCTACATCATATTTAGAAGTCCTGTATCATTTCCTATATCAATAGGGCCACAAAAGCACAAGTAAGTGAAACTCTGCTTGTAGGTGTCGAATAAGCTTTGAAACAGCCTGGCCATAGTGGTGCACACACATAATTCCAGCACTACGGGAGAGGGGGAAGATTGTACCTTGGTGGCCAGCCTAGCCCGACCTTGTCTCAAAATATTGGTGCAAGATGATAATCCCAGTGCATGCCTGTAATCCCAGTAGTGGGCGGGCTGAGGCAGCCTCCGTGGGTTCCAGGCCAGCTTGGCCTACACAGTGAGTTCAAAGCCAGCCTGAACTACATAGCAAGACCCTGTCTCGAAAACAAAGCAAAACAAAATACCTCAAAAAAAACAAGAACATATCTGTGTAAATGTCCTGGATTTTCAATTCCCGGTACCACTACCACCACACACAAAAGTTTTAAGCAAGAAGGAATTAAAACCCATTTGCCTACAAGGTACTCAACGCGTGTGCACCACATATTACACCTGCGGCGCAGGTTTCCTGGATCCCATTGGAAGCTGTTTCCCCCTATTTAAAACGCGGATGTCGGCGGGGCTGAGCTTGTAGCCTCCAACTTCAGCAGCCAGGCTTACAGCTGGCGCTCAGAAAACAAGGCCCCCAGCCGGGCTGCCCCGGACCCGCCCCTCTAGGCCAGCCCGAGCTGCCTACCCTCACAGATCTGCTCCCACAGATTTTTGCCGGGTGGCTCGGCGACTTGCCCCGGGGAGACAGATTCAGGAGACACGGGAGACACAGTGGGCACAGAGGTCGGGGTGGTGACCAATGAATCAGCAGAGCCTGTGGGTTCTTCACGCTGGACCGAACGACTAGGAAAGAGCCGAGTCGCCGCCATGATCGCAGTTTCCGTGGTAACCGCGTTCGCCTCAAGGCCGCGACCCGGAAGCAGCCGGAACTTGCAGGGGGTCGGCTCAGCGACTCGAGATTAACTTCCGGGTCACGGCGGAGAGCTGTCTCACGTGGAGGCGGGGAGGTTTGATCTGCAGGTGAGTGCGAAAGGAGCTGTGCTGGTCGTCGCGCGGAATCAGTAGGTTGGACATGGGGTTTGCGCGGCGGGGAGGAGGGGAAAAGGAGACGTCCTGTACCTCACAACCCGCCCGGGCCAGAGGCCGCCGCCTCCGCGAAGTTCTCCCGCTTGGAAGGCGGCCGGGGAACCTGCGTAACTCCTGGCTGTGTGCTAATACGGCGGCTTCGGCTTGCTAGGCCCTCCAGTGGCCGCTGCCACCTCCTGACCCCCTTTAGCCCTACTGGTGGGTGCAGTGGGAGTGGGGATTGGTGCGGGGGCTGCGTTGGCATCACTTTTGCCACCTGTTGGTCTCGAGACCTACCTAGGACTAGTGAATGAACGTCTCCCAAGCCCGTGACGCTAAATAGACAAAACAGCCTTTGGGAGGCTTCCGCGGGAGTTTAAAAGCGCTTTTAGAGAAATCATTTGCGTAAGGCACATTTCCTCTTCCTTTCTCATTGAAAGAGTAAAGAGGAGGATGCTGCAGGCTTCAGAATGGCAGAGATGGGGACAGAATCGGATTAAGCTGACCTCTGACCTCCCGTAGCTTTATTTTAATCAACTCTCTTCACCATTCCTCCATCCTGAAGTACATTGGGCTTTCTTGACTCCATCCTGTCCAGGTTTGCACACTCACCTTCTGCAAGCCTCTCTGTTTAAATGTCAACATTTCTTGGGCTCCTGTCTTGGGTTTTGTTCCGGTGTAATCATCACCCATATAGTCCTGTTTATGTCCTCTGTGTCCACATAGTCACCATCTATCCACCTCTCCAGTAATCATCTTCACTTGTATATCTTAAGTCATCTGTCCAAGATGGTTTACTTGGATTGCCCAACAGGAAACTTCTGTTCTTCAGAAAGTCATGGTAACTGGTAGGGTGGGTTGTATGACCTCCATCACCCTGTCCTTACTGCCATCCTTGCTCTTACATCTGCAGCATTGACATCGTGCCTCTTTCTCTCTCAGATCGACCTACTTTTGGATGGCTGGTTTATGAATCTTGTCATCTCTGTAGCTCTTACCTAATGCATTCTGTGAGTATTTATTGAGCACCCGTTGTGTGCCAGATGCTGAGCTAGGCCCTAGCATACACCAGGAAACAGAGTGAACAGGAATGAATGAAAGAGGTAGATATTCCCTGATTCTTCAGGCGCTGCTGGAGGAGGTTATGAATGAACTTGAGTTGTACCTCAGGCCTGGCTCTCTGAAACTGCTAAGAGGTGCTGAGACCAGTGTGGACCCTCTAGGCTCTGAGATCAGGATGGAGAAGCTCCTGGTCTTTCTCTCCCATCATCTAAACTTCCAGTGGGGAGATAACTTTGTTTCTAGATTCCCTGAATCTCTCTGACATCTAGCCCTGGTGCAGGAGTAGTAGAAACTGGGCTGGTACCTGGAGTTAAAGCAGCCCAGCTAGAAGCTGAAGTGAATTGAGCATCCAACCCCTTTTCACCGGTGCCTTAGGTTGCTGTGTCACTGCCAGTCATTAGATGTTGGCAGTCAGTTTAAAATGTAAAAAAACAGTGAAACGGGTGCTGGGGATTTAGCTCAGTGGTTCCACCCCCTGCCTCACAAGCACAGGGTCCTGAGTTCGATCTCCAGTACAAAAAAAAAGTGAAACAGGCTTGCAGTCTGGATGTGGCTCCTGTCCTGAGAAGTCTCTTGTTTCATCTCCTTATGGAGAGGGAAACAGGCCCAGAGGAGCCAAGGGCAGGGGTGTATCAGATCCAGGTATTTGATCCAGGTCTTTCAGGGGTATCCAGACCTGGTACTTGATCCAGGTCTTTCAAGTCCTAACTGTGGGTTTTTCTTTCACTGTCTTGTGGGAAGACAGTTAGGAAGTTGTAAAAGTTACCTGGCATAAGGGTGGAGGACTCATTTCTAGACCCCAGAAAACCATTCAGATGAGCCAGAATATGGAGTTAATTGAGCCACTGTTGATCCTGCTGGTGGGAATTGGCAAGAAGAATTGACCTTAGGATTTCTGTCTGTGGTATCCTGTGAAAGGTCAGCCCCTAGGGGAACCTTTGGTCTTTCTGACTTGGTCACACTTGTGCCCTCAGTTGCTAGTCCCGGCTAGGCCCTTGGTACATGGCATGTTGAATGAATGACTGTGCTTAGGGCTTTGAGGAACAGAGTAGAAAAAGAAACAGTATCCCAAGCATTTTACATGGATCACCTCACTTACTGTCTGTAATAATTCTTCAAGGAAGAGGTGTTAGTCCCACTCCACCCCAGTTTCTCAGATGATAAAACTGAGGCTCGGGGAAGTTGGGTGATCAAGCCTTTTAAAACCTAGGGCTTTCCAAATTTAAACTTCTAGCAGATTTCCCATCGCTCCAAAGGAATCATAGCCATTTTTTCCAGTTCCCTAACATGTCAGACTATCCACCTGGGTTTTGTGCAGAGCTTAGTAGAATTGAGCACTGAGGGCTGGATGTGGTAATAACTTCTACCTTTCCCGCCCCCCTAGAAATGATCACCAAGACTCACAAAGTAGACCTGGGCCTTGGGCTCCTGGAGAAAAAGAAGAAGAAGAAAAAAGTGGTCAAAGAACCAGAGATTCAATACTCTGTCATAAATGATACTAATTATTTTGCTGACACTTCTCCTTTGAGGGCCACAGCCCCCTCTAGGACTATGAGCCAAGGGCAGGCACCCGAGATGCCCCTGATAAAGAAGAAAAAAAAAAAGAAAGGCCACAGCACCCTTTGTGAGGAGTTCCCAGAATCTGAGCCCACATCACGAGCCAGACAGACAAAGTTGGCCAGCCCCAGGAAGCAGGCCCTTGACCCCTCAGACTCCTTCAGTGGGGAGAAAAAAAAGAAGAAGTCCTTGCCTTTGGTGACGTCACAGGGCTCAGGGCTAAAGACCTCCCTGGTGGGTGAGGCGGCCACCAGTGCTAGTAAGAAGCTCAAAAAACACAAGAAAGAAAAAAAGGTCCGGGATACCACAGCCGGCCCCATCCAGGATCCTTGGCCCTGTCAGGCTGGTGATGCTTCATATGGAGGCGCTGTGGGGAAGGAGGCCGAGGAGCAGGCAGCCTTGGGGCAGAAACGGAAGCAGGGCAGCTCCAGAGAACGCAGTGGGAAAGTGAAGAAGAAGAAAGTTCACCAGGAGGAAGACACCCACCTGGGCCCCTCCGAGCTCCCCAGGTCCCAGGAGAGCAGCCCTAGGAAAGGAAGGAAGAAGAAGCCAGTCAAAGTGGAGGTTCTAGAGTACATCCCAATAGGAGACGACCCTAAGGCCCCAGTGAAGAAGAGGACAAAGGCAAAGAAAAAGGTAGAGCAGCCAGTTGTTGAGGAGCTGGCTCAGAAAAGGAAGAAAAAGAAGAAGAAAGAGAGCGTGGTAGCAGCAGACCCTTTGAAGGAGGTAGGTTTTCCTTCAGAACTGGATTTTGCCTTGGGAGAGTAGGAGCAGGTATTGGGAGTGCCCATGTGCATGTGAATGCACATTTGCACACGCACGGGCACTTAGGCTTTTAGCCTCCAAAACCCTGGGAGGGGGTTACTGACACATAATTGAAAAGGCTCTGTGTTACCCAGCTTCAGGTATAGCTAAGCATATCACCAGTAGTATAGGTCTGCCTTGCAATCAAAGCCCTACCCAAATTCTGACCCTCTGTTACCAGATTCTCAATAACTTGGGGTCACTTTTCAAATGAAGCCTTTGATTTCTGAACTCCTGCCGTTTGCACAAAGTCTGAGCTCAGTACACGTGATGTAGGAGTCACATATATTTACATAGCAGGAGATGGCTGTGTTTTTCTTAGTTTTAGTCCTGGTTTCTCCTCTGCTCCCCAACCCCCACTTCATGGCTTTCATCTTAGTAGTTCAACCACCCACAAGAAGAGTGGCTCCTCAGAATAATTCCGGGAAATGTCCCAGGCCTGCTGTCATGGGTCTCAATTGGGTCACCAGCTGGAAGCCCTGCTAGGAAAGCAGGAGTGAGGTGTTGAGGGTGTCAGTCCCACCGAACCTCGACCTTTGAGAAGGAGGGGTGCGGGACAGTTCCTGAGAGGAAAACGGGTCTTGTTACCAGAAGTAAAGGAGTGGACAGTGGCCCAGTGACAACCACTGAGATCTGCTGTCTCTCTGCTGACAGGTCTCCTGGAGCATGGGGGTGGGGGAGCTAGAGAGAAACGCCAGTGACTGCACTGACCTGCAGCCCTTACTAGCTGGGCCCCTGGCAGGGCCAGGCCACCACTCCTGACCTCAGGGTGTGTGAGTGGAACCAGGATGGCGTGTGACCTGTCACGTGTGCCATCACGGTCGGTGTCACTTCCTGAGGGCTTTCTGTGTGCCTGGGCGGTGATAAGTGCTCTCCATGTGTTGACCCATTTTATCAGTGTGGTGAGGTAGCTGCTCCTGTCATCCCATCTAACAGACAAAACAGGCTCAAAGGAGAAAAGAACTTGTCTAAGGTCACCCTGCTGGGAAGAAGTAAAGCTAGGATTCACACCCCAACTTGGGCTCCTTCTCTGAATCCTCCTGTGTACCCTTTCCTAGAAGCCAGTCATTCATTCATTCATTATTCATTCATTTGGTACCGGGGATCCAACTTGTTTCCTTGCGCTTGCGAGGCAGGCGGCAGAACCACTAAGCTAAATTCCTGGCCCGGAAGCCAGCCTTTAGAGCCCGAGAAATGACGTCCTCCATGAGACAGCTCTGGATTCTCTTTCCCTGCAGGGATGAGGTGGGCAGGAGCCACATGAAAAGTATCTTGACAGGCCTTAGGAGCCTGGATTTTCCATTATTTCTTTTTCCATTTTCCTTTTTACGGTACAGGGATAAACCCAGGGCCTCATGCATGCTAGACAAGTGCTCTCCTACTGAGCCACATCCTAACCCTTGGATTTTCCTGTGAACAACCAGCCCCAGCTCTTGTGCACTGGCTGGGGGCCAGCCTGGCCTGGGGAGGGGCCTGGTTAATAGCACTGTCCCTGAGTGGTAGGTGATCTTGTATTGGTCACCTTCCTCTCTGGCCCTCGGTTTGTCAGATAGCTCGGTGTTACTGTTTTAGGGAAAGATGAGAGTGGCAGGGCTTTGTCAGCTAAGACAGTTAGGCGGCAGGGGCCCGAGCGATGCTGCAGTCTGGGGTCCTCTTTGGACTTCGTCATGACCTTACCCTGCTGGCTGCTGGGCCTTTCGCTGTGTACTGGAACCTCACTGCCTCCTTCCTCTCATGCAGGAGCCAGACACAGACCTGGAGGTGGTGCTGGAGAAGAAGGGCAACATGGATGAGGCGCACATAGACCAGGTATGGCCCTGCTACTGTCTCCAGCCACCCCCAGGAGGCACAGGTCCAACTTTGGCGGCACAGCTCCAGGGGCAGGGACCCTTCCTTCCCTTCCCCCTGTGGAGGAGGGACCATGACTGCACAGGTCTTCTCAGACTGCAGTAGGGACCCAGTGCGGTTCCGATTGGGATGGGAAGGAGTCGCAGGCCTGGCTTCACAGCTGTGCTTGGTGCATGGCGGCTGCTCTTGACTCTGTCCTCATGTGAGTCCCTGGCAGGGGCTGCACTAGTGCCCGAGATACAGCAGGGTATGGGAATGAGATAGAGGGGGCCTGTCAAGGCTCCGCCACCCCCGGAAAGAGGAATTGAGGGAGCTTTTAGGAGTGAGCCGAGTCTGCGGAACCAGAAGAAACGGGGAAGGACAAAGCCTGCGTTGGGGCATTAGGAGCTCTTTAGAGGGGACTCTCATAGTGAGGCCAGGAGGGTGAGTGGGGTGACAGTGCCAGAGCCTCTCTGCAGGACACGGCCCTGGTTGGCTCTCCCTGGCTGGGCCAGCATTGCCAGAGCTGCTGTAGTGGGGCTGGGCGCCAGGCGGAGGGCTGTGCTGGGGCCCCGCTTGTCCAGGCCCTGGCCCTTCCTAGTCCCCCAGCTCCTGGGGACACAGTAAGAGCTCAGCCTGAGTTCTGTGTGCAGAGCTCTTTGCTCTGTAGTTACTTGTGCTTCTTTACTATGGATTCTAAGCTACTATAACCACAGGGGACGGCTGTAGTGTGACTCAACCTTTTCCCTATAAATACTAAAAGGTTCCTATGTTTAAAAATGGGAAAAAAGGGATGGATATTTAGCTCAATTGGCACCTTGCCTGCCTCACAAGTGTGAGGTCCTGAGTTCAGTCCCCTGTACTCTCCCTGAGAAAAACATTAAAAATGGGCACCTGGACTGTAACCACTAGTCAGTGTTAGCCCCTTTGGGTGTCCTGCCAGACTTTTTGTTGTATCGATGTATGTAAGTGTAGTTTAACAGTATGGACTCGTGCTGTACCCGTCGTTCTTTCTACTTATCTTCTAATTGCGCCTGCACATGCACATCTGTTAACACCCTTGCACATCTGAAGTCATCCTTGCGTGACTTCACTGGAGGGGTGGACCTTTGTTTTCTCTTTTCCTACAGCTGTCACCTTATTTTTTGTAGTTAAAATGGTATAAGAGGACCCATCACTTGACAGCCTTAGGCAGATTAGAGAGGAGGGAAAAGGGAGGACGCGATGCAGAAACTAAAGTCATACCTGGACCCTGGGGCGGAGAGAAGGCCCTGGAAGCTGCTGTGTGGAAGAGCACGTTGTTGGTGCTCACTGGATCGCCCACAAACGAGGCATCCCTGTTGCGTGCCAGGGGCTCTGCTGTGTAGATACTTTTTTCTCCCATTTCCCCTCCAAAGTGGGAGACAAGCAGACCAGTGTTCAGAAAGGTTAAGTGACTTACCTAGGCCACATAGCTGGTTAATGGCAGGGCTGGGATTCAAATTAGCCCATGCCTTTCTTTTAGAAATCAGCACTCTCATTGTTGAAATTAACTACAGTATCCAGCACGAGAACATAGAGCAAGCCAGGCATGGTGTTGCATGCCTGTAATCCCAGCACTTGGGAGGCTGAGGCAGGAGGATCCCTGTGAGTTCCAGGCCAGCCTTAACTACAGAGCAAGATCTGTGTCAAAAAAACAAAACAAAACAAACCATAGGGCAGTGGCATTGCATTTTGAGAAAGTTTCTATCCTAATGGCTGTTTTAAACCAAACTGTTGGGAGTGGTTCAGGTAGATGAGTTATTTCTAAGAAATTCATTCTCAAACTGCAATATGAGAAAATTTAAAAATGGAAATAAAGTGTTTGTAAATGGGGAGGGGAGGAGGGGGTGAAGGGAGGGCAGGGTTAAGGGGAAAAAATGAGAACCAAGACCTGTCATGTAAAGGTACAAGATCCCAATGATGAATGTAACTGTACTGTATACCTAAAATGTACCAATAAACTCAGTGAGGGAAAAAAAAAAAAAGGCACTGCAAGCTGGGTTATGGTACATGTGTGCAATCTTAGCACTGTGGGGGCTGAAGCAGGAGGATCAAAAGTTGAAGCCCAGCCTGGGCAATTTAGTGACTTAGACTCTATCTCAAAATAAAGTATAAAAAGGGCTGAGGATATAGCTTATTGTGAAGGCCCTGGGTTCAATCCCCAGTACCATCATCAGAAAAGACAAACTCTGCCTAGGAGGACAAAGGAGGCCTGCAGATCCCAAGTCCAAGAGCCACAGCCCTGACAGTGCTTTTGAAAAAGGCTTACACAAGGTCTAGCAAAGTGAGGTTCACCATCTCCTGCCACCCTGCATCCCTCAGCCTTTGGTTTTAAGCTCAGAAGTAACATCCCTGTCTCTTTCCCCTCTTTCATCATCTTGTTAGGTGAGGCGAAAAGCCTTACAAGAAGAGATCGATCGGGAGTCAGGCAAGACAGAAGCTTCTGAACCCAGAACGTGGACGGTGAGTTTGCTGCCAAGGTCTCCGAGGTGCCTGCTCCTGCTCCAGTTCTCTAAGCTCCAGCCCACTGGCTCGGCTGCCTGTGCAGCTCTCAGTCTTCCTGAGGGACTTTCCTTATTTTGAAAGGGTGTCTGCCTCCCTCCCGAGGAACTGGCTGGGCTAACAGCTGCCTGGACCTTTGGGTGTGCGGTGGGGGGGTGGGGTCCTGTGGATTAAGCCCTGAGGACACATTTAACACTCTTTGCAGCTGTGGGCCGTGTCCTCAGAGGGCTGCTAGGAAGGGGTGGGAGGCAGAGGTGAGGGTGGAGCAGTGGCAGGCCTATCTCGGGACTGGCTTAAGATCCCAGTCTGAATGGCAAACTTCTGGGCCCTGCCCAAGCAGATAGGATGGTTCCGAGGGCAGCTCTTGGTCCATGAAAATGGGTTGCTGTGGTTGGTGAGCTGGGACCCTGGCGGGTTGCTCTGGCTTTCCCCATTCTTGGATCAGTTCAGCTGAATGACTTCACCCCATTTTGGAGCTGAGTGATGCTTTGGATTAGAAAATCTGAGATGAGTTAGTGGCCTTGCCTCTTACTAACTTAAGTCTCTAGGCTAGCACTTTCCCTCTCTGCCTCAGTTTCCATACCTGTGAAAGTGGCCTTATGCCCCTAACTGAGGTTATGGACAGCGGCTCCATTGGGTGCCTTTCCCTCCACCCTTTTGAGCTGAGCAGAGCTGACAGATGACCCCATGGAGTAAGGGCAAGTGACTGTACTGGGAAGGACCTGATGGCAGGAGATCTGGGCTGGGAAGTGCTGTGTTCACCTGGCACTGCCCCAGGACCTAAGCTGTGAGCCTGAGGAGGCAAGTGTGGGTTTCCAGGCTGGCAGCCTTGAGACACCAGCTCACCAGGCACAGCTGGTGTCTGTCACAGGCCACCTCTGCTGTAGAAACTGCTGAACTACTGATTCCCACATCTGGGCCGTGTGTAGTGACACCCTGGTTCTGATGTTCCCCAGAGCTGACCTAGAAAAGCGTGCAGGCCTGGCATTAGGCTCACAGGTGCTAAGTTCCTGGGGAGGCAGAGGTCAGCGGCCTGGAAGGCGTGGGGCAGGAGGAATGACCAAGGACCGCAGATGTGCCAGTAATTGTGTGCTGGGATTTGTGGGTAGAGGAGTCACTCTTCATCTTGGAGATGAGGACCCTGAGCTCAGAGAGGTGGGGTGACTTGATCAGAGTTCTCAGGTGCGGCTTCATCCAGGCGGTGACTTCAGTCACATCGTCGTGGGGAGCTGGGTTTCTTGCCTCTCCCATTTTCCTGCACGTGGAGATTTTCATGTGGGTGGTAGGGCACTCTGGCCGGAACTGGGACCTCCAAGGTCCCGGGCTGGCTCAGCTGCTGACTTGGTGTGACCCCTCTCCACTGTGGGCCTCCTCCTACCCAGTGTGAAGGGCAGCACCTCCCAGAAAGGAACTGCTTCCCCTTCACGGGTGACCGAGCAGCTGGCCGGGGTGTGGAGAGGTGTGCTGTCCTGTCTAGGAATGGCCACCGTGCTCCTTGGAGGCCCTGCCGGTGTTAATAAGGCAGTCTGTGGTAAGGGTAAGTGGCACTCTGCCTAGCATTTTAAGCAGCTGAATTGCTTTGGATTAAGCAAAAGTAACTGCTTTTTTTCTCCTTACACAGGGGACTCAGTTTGGCCAGTGGGATACTGCAAGTTTTGAAAGCAAGGAACAGAAACTGAAATTTCTCAAACTCATGGGTGGTTTTAAGAATCTGTCCCCTTCGTTCAGCCGCCCCCCTAGCATGACTACAAGACCCAACATGGCCCTCAGCAAGGCGGCAGCGGACACCCTGCAGCAGAACCTGCAGCAGGACTACGACCGGGCCATGAGCTGGAAGTACAGCCGGGGCGCCGGCCTTGGCTTCTCTGCCACCTCCAACAAAGTCTTCTACATTGACAAGAATGCGTCCAGGTCTGTCAGGTTAGAAGATTAAACACTGTCCTCTACCCAGATAGCCCAGATGAAAGCCACCCAGCAGCTCTCCAGGACAGAACACCCTTGGAGACTAAGGACAAATGGGCAGCTCATGAGTCCTGGGAGCGGAAAACCTGCTTTCTCTTACTCCTACATCCCTGTGGTGACATGGGCATGTAAATAATGGCAGCTGACAACTGACCTTTGTTGAGGATATAGTTTGGCCTAGGGAAATCCTGTTTTTGCATTACTGTATTTAATGATTATGAAATAGGTGCTATTCATGAGGCAGCTGAGAGGTTCAGGAAGTGAGTTAGAAAGTTGCCTAGGGGCACCCACCACTGAGTGCCATGCATTACAAGGTGGTTCCCTGAGCCCTAAGTCACTAATCACTCTGATGTCCCTTCTAGGGACTGACCCGGGATTCTTGTTGGGGGTTAACGGATGGAGGAAACAAGTTTTGTGGCATGTCTGACTCTCAGGAAGTAGAACCGTGATGGGGGATTGGCAGGCTCGTTTGCCTTCCCCTGTTCGGAATAGCTGCACACGGGCCAACAAGGAGATGCGGCCACCCTTTCTCTGCTGCAGCTGAGCTGGGATGCGCTTGGATTTGGCATTTCTGGGTGTTGGCTGGACTCTGAACAAAGCATTCTGGAGAGCAGTTACACGAACTGAGGGCGAAGGATCCAGTGACTTCTGTGGTGGAGGCTGAATGCAAGGAGGCTTAGGCTGTGGAGATGACACAGAAGGTTGCTTTACCATGTAGGAACAGGTTCCATGCTTGGACTCCAGTGAGCCTCACAGCTCCAGGTATAGTGTCCACTCGGCCACCTGCCTCCCATTCGCTACCTTGTGCATCCGACCTAAGAGCATCCTCTCTACTGCAGCCACAGCGCATCTCCCAGCTGACCTCGCTCCTCCCGGGACCTGCCAGCACATTCCAAATCCCGGTCTAGCAGTGTTCAGGAAAAGGAGTTAACTGGGTGACACATCTGCTCTTTGTAAGTCTTCCCTCGTGGTGTACGCAGCTCTCACTTCCAGGTGTTGGTGCTCTCCAGTTGGTGAGCATGTGGTCTTGGAACTGAACCTGTATGGAGTGGTGGCCCTGTAAAAGTAGATTGTTTTTCCAAGTTCGTTTACAAAAGAAAAAGCAAATGTCTGCTAGAAAACAAAGTTACCCATGTTCTTTTGCAACTCCCTTTCTTAAAGGCCCATCCTGTCCTCGGGCTGAGGACCTGAATGACACTTGTGTGAACAAACACTGAGAGACTATTTTTTGGAGAACAAGATTTGATTTTAATGCTGATCCCCACTTCTCACTGTCCGTACCTGGGGAGAGGCCAGAGCCGAAACCAATCTGTATATGTAAAAATAAAGTAAAAACAAAAAAACTTCATTTCCAGTAAAAATGGAGGGTAGCAAAGATACGGTATTTTTGGACTCAGTGCCAGAGTCCTGGGGACTGGAAGACCAGGGTCAGGTCCTTGTCTGCAGAGGGAGTCTCAGGGCCAGCTCAGTCAGGTGATTCATGTCTGGTTGTTTGCTTCGCTTCTTGATATATTCTAGAGTTTTCACCTAGGAAGAAAAGAAAGATCCATCCTTTTTTTGGTACTGGGGATTGAACTCGGGTCCTTGCACTTTTGAGGCAGGCGGCAGAACCACTAAGCTAAATCCTCAGCCCAATAAAGATCAGTCTTGCTTCTGGCTCATAACTATCCTTGGAGCCCAGGGCTATGACAAATCAGCTTTTACGTGAATTACACTTTTTAGCAGAATGTAGGGAATGTTGAATGATACAAGGGGAGAAATCACTTTTTAAAGCAGACCTTAGGTTGTAACAAGCCCTTAAAATGAGATTTGTGTTTAGCCAGGAATAACTGGTTTTTATATGTATGTCTTTTATTCAGAGGGAATACACTTGAAATGCCATGCCTCTTAGCAGTGGGAAGGGACCCAGCAGAATTCTTGGGTATGGCCTTTTTTAGAAGGGGAGACCAGGGCAGCCTGACGTCTGGCCTCCACCCTGTACAGCAGCCAGTGGGGCTTGGCGTGGGGCCCACGGAATGCCTCACCATAGTCCTGGTATCTGCGCAGCCGTGCCTCTGTGCTAGGTGCCACAGGTTGACAGAGAGCTGGTTAAGCTTGTTGTTGCGTAGGTCTCCGTGGGCCAAGATGCTGTTGAAGAAGGACAGGCCCAGCAAGCTCTGGCGCTTCAAGGCCTGAAAGAGAAAGGAAAAGTTACAGCCTCGGGCTTGGACTGTGGCCGAGGCTGAGTAAGTTATGGTAGTGCATGCTTTCCCCATATCTGTTGTACAGAATGGTGCTTAACCTCCTGACTCCCAGCTCTTTCATCTGAACTGAGTACAGGAGGACCAGGTCAGGGGACATGTCTCCATGCCTCACCTGTAACATGGAAGACACAGGTCGTTGGGTCAGGAAATGAAACTTAACCGGCAGTAGCTGGGCATGGTGGTGCACACCTGTAATCTCAGCACTGCAGCAGCTGAAGCACAAACCTGAAGACTGTCACAAGCTTGAGACCAGCCTGGGCTACATGGGGAGACTGTCTCAAACAACAAAAACAACTGGCAGTGAAAGGCCTGCTCACTTCATTCAGTGCAAGCATAATATAAAGCCAAACAGGCATCAGCATCTCTATGAGATGTACCTCAAGTTGCCCAGAGCTGCAGTCACCATTCCTGCCCCTTAGGTGTGACAGTAAATGCCAAGTGATCCCTTCTCATGAACCGTTCCCAAGGTTTGTTGCTGACATCTGGCTTTCCCAAGAACCAGTTTATACCTAGACACCCCACACTGCTAGTCCTTAGCAGACCAGACCAAATGAGAGTCCTGGCATTGAGACAAAAAAGCCAACCAAATGCAGCAACAGGCTAGCTTCCCAAAGGGAAATGCAAGCACCTAGGAAGGCCGCCCAACGGGTGGCCAGGCCGAAGCATCCAGTGCTGGCCACTAGTGAGCCAGTTTCCAGGCCCTTGCTGAGGTCCTGCTGTGCATCTGATTTGTTTTGGGGCAGCTAAAGGGTGCAGACTTGAGTATGCCAGGGCCTCTGCTTCACAGCTTCTGAGTCTGTCTGCACAACAGCTTGGTGACAGGTACACTGATAACGCTCCAGCAATCCATCTGGCTGTTCACGCAGGTAGAGGTGGGGATGTACAGACAATGGGCCCAGTAGAATGACTTGAGCCCTTAAAAGCAGAAAGCAGCGGGAGAAGCAAGCAGAGGAAAGATGAGGCAGAAAGGAGGAAGGTCAGAGAGGTTTAAGAAATTCATCCACCATTGTTGGCTTTCATGATGGAGGAAAGGGCCTAAAGGATATAGGTAGCTTCTAGAAGGCGAGAAAGCCCTGTGGGCAACAGCCACCCAGGAAGTGAGACCTCAGTTGTACAACTCCACGGAGTAAGAACTCTGCCAGCCAACACTGAATTCAGTTTTGTGAAACCTGCAACAACCCAGCCAGTGCCAGCTTCTCACATGCCAGACTGTCGAGCCATCACTGGGTCCTGGTCTCAGCTGCTAACCTGATGGCTGTTGGGTGCACAGCAACAGGAAGCTGACACCCACTGTGCAGAGGAAGAACACGCTGAGTGGCTAAGGAACAAGCCCCCAGACCCCGCCAGGAGTTCCGAAGTGGAACTGAGCCAAGGCAGATTCTAGAGCCCAGGCTTGTGCCAAGTCTGCCCACACCACAGACCCACGGTGGGCATGTGGTCAGGAAGCAGCTGAGCTGACCAGGAAGAGCCTCACAGAGAAGCGAGTATGCTGAGTGCCCCAGCAGCAGGCAGACTTACCACCTGGCTGGGTGTGGCCTGCTCTGGCTTTGTCCGTCCATCAGACCTCAGTGTCCTATGCCAGCGAGGGCCCTGTGCCCATGTCTCCCTTTAGAACTGGCCATGTCTGATGCCTGATTTTTGCTAAGCTAAAAGAAAATTCTATTTCAGAACAAACTAAAAGCATCTCCCCTGCGAGAGGCCTTAAACTATATTTCACTGAAGTGAAGATTTTTAAACAGTCAAACAAGAAACTATCTAACTGGGGATTTCTCTGCCACAGAACTCCTCAATAAGCATTTTTATCCTAAAGAGCTCCTTTCACAAGTATTTTAATGCCATGTCCCATTAAAACACCACGAGAGCCGTGACTGAGGACTGCAGAGGCATGCCAGCGGATATCCCAAGACAGGAAAACATGAACATGTCACAGCAGAGCCAGATCAGGGCCACAGGCCATCACTGCTCTCCATGGAGGTTTTAAATAGAAAAGAGCTGCTTTTCCGTCTGTTCCGAGATTTGTCATTTCCAGGAAGCTCTAGGGGTCTGGCATGGTTCCCAGCTCACCACACCCAAACATCTTCATAAGGCTCATGATTAAAACAGGGCTGACTCCTTTCTCGGGTCAATTCTGGAAGCAGGGATGTCGCCAGTGATAGCAGATGTCACATCAGCGGTGAGGCACCCCTTCCCCCTGGGGAGGGGAACACAGTGCCTGCGGTGGGCCTGGCACCAGCCTCAGGCTCCTGAGGCTAATTACTGACCGGAAAACTCCAACCTGTGCAAGAATCTGTACTGAACTTCACATGGCAGTGTTGAAACAAGGGTGAAGTGTTTAGTTTCACCTTGGTCCATCCATATTTTTCTAAAATATACACATATTTGGACATTTTCCATCAAGTCCCTAGTTTTAATGCAAGATGAAATATCCTTAGAAACATCCCAGCTTTGCTCTTTCTCAGAAGCCTTTCATAGTTATTTCCATCAATCTCCTCTTCCCTCTCTACAAAGGAAAATGAGAAATATTAAAGTAGATTAGAATTATATGGCTACATATGTATTGTGAGCTGGGGGTGTTAGACTATGCTTGTTAAGGTGGCCCTGCTGATTAACCCTGTTTGATGCCTGTGTGTGACAAACTCTATTTTCAAGTAGATTAGAATTATATGGCTACATATGTATTGTGAGCTGGGGGTGTTAGACTATGGTTGTTAAGGTGGCCCTGCTGATTAACCCTGTTTGATGCCTGTGTGTGACAAACTCTATTTTCAAGTTAGGTAGCAAAGTTTTTATGGCTGCCTCGGGACTAGAAGATGGAGGCAGAGCCGCTGGTTTTAGGAAATCAGGAAAGAGAGGTCAGAAGAGGTGGGGGTGAGGAGACTAATCAGTATAAAAGTGGGAACAGAAGGCAAAAGGTGGCTTCCATTTCTTCTGTAAGGTACAAAGGCTGTGAAAATCACCTACACAGACAAGAAGCAGGGCCCTAACCCTCACTGAGAGAGAGTACTATGTTCATGGAAGGGGGGCCAGGTAGGGAGGTGCCTTTACTGATCCTCACTGGTTTGATAAACCAGCTTTCCTAACGAGTTAAATGCTGTTCCTTCCATGGCCCCCAGGTGCCCGCTTGCATGAGTTTGAGCAGAATTTGGCCCCAAGGGCCCACACATGCCCTCCTTCTCTGGAAAGGGTGCTGTTACGTGCTGGGAGGTGCTAAGCCCCAAGGTAGTGGTTCCATATGTTCTTTGAGCTACTAACCCTAAGGCTGGCCATTCAGACCCCTGAACCTGGCAGACCCCAGTGGGGTGAAGCCCTCAAAAAAATCCCACTGCCTCCAGCAAAGGCTTGAATACCCTGGAGAGAATGGGAACCCAGACATATACAGAGGTCTGTGTATGAGTTCTGTATCTGTAGAGTCAACTCACTGGGGATGGAAAACATTCAGGACAAAAACTGCATGGAAACTAGATGGATACAGACTGACACGGGGTCGATGGGATCCAAAGCTGCAGAGACGGAAGCCATGATCAGCATAACTGGAAGGAAACCTGATAGTGAAGCTCAACATGGAAACTGTATGGAACTCGATACCTGCCCATATGGGAAGATGGGAGACCCACTCTGAAAACACAAAGACACAGCATCTGACAAGAGAACCTATTTTGGGGACAGGCAAGGGCATTCTAGAAGGCTGCCTTGACTATACCCACAGCTACCACTCTCAGGGTCTGTTTCCTCAGTCAATATGAAAGGGCTGTTGGGAGAATCAAATGAAGCCACTCACAGGGAGCTCTCAATATGACAATGGGTGGTAAGGCTGGGAAGGCAGGCCCTCCTACTGCAGTTAGACAGCATGTAAGCCACTGCTGAATAGATGAGAGGAAAGGCCGCAGTTGAGGAGGCCAGAGGTCAGGCTTCAGAATCAGGGTAGAATTTCTGCTATCAAATTTCTCCTGTCAAAACCACATGAATCAGCCAAACATGATACTGCACACCTATATGCCAGCACTCTAGAAGGCTGAGGCAGGAGGACTGCAAGGTCAAACACAAGCCTGGATGACATCGAGACCTTGTTTGAAAATAAAAGATAGAAAAGACGGGGATATACTTCAGTATGAAGTTCCCGGTTTTAATCCCTAGTACTACTGAACAGAACAGAACAAACAACAAAACCACACACAAAACACAAGAATCTCTGGGTCTCAATTTCCTTTTCTGTTCTGTGAGAATAAACATGGTGCCTTCCTCTCACAGGGGCACTGTGTGTGCTAAAAGCTCAGGAGTAGAACACAGGCTGTTATTTGGTCACCCTGTCCTGCTCTCTGCTGGCTCCATGTGGCAGGGG